TTATTTCATTATCTTCAGCCTAATACCCTACACAACTGATACAGCCCATGATTTGAAGAATAAATTGCCAAGTATTCTGTAATTATAATAAAAAAAATAGATTATTCAAATACCTAATTTGTTTAAAAACAATACTTGAAATTGAATGATCCCTCAGTAGTCACAATAATTTCACAAATATTAATACAAACATAAAATGTATTTTCACTTAATAAGATCTAGTAAAGCTTAAGATTTAATGCCAGCTTAAAAATAATGCATTTAAGAGAACATTGAGGAGTGAGAACACATTTCAATTAAAACTACACTAAACTTGGGGCGCCTGGGTGGCTCAGTGGGTTAAGCCGCTGCCTTCGGCTCAGGTCATGATCTCAGGGTCCTGGGATCGAGTCCCACATCGGGCTCTCTGCTCGGCAGGGAGCCTGCTTCCCTCTCTCTCTCTCTCTCTCTCTGCCTGCCTCTCTGTCTACTTGTGATCTTTCTCTGTCAAATAAATAAATAAAATCTTTAAAAAAAAAAAAAAAAAACTACACTAAACTTGTCTGAAGCTTAGTAATAACAAGTATAGTATTTAAACCTAAGCCTCTTTTTCACCACTCTCTAAGTGATCTAACAGAAATTTCAGTGATGAGAAGCTAAAGAATACCAAGTATCCTTCAATAGAAAAATGGATAAAGTTGTATACTATATATACACAACAGAATTACTAGGTCATGAAAGAGAATGAAATCTTGCCATTTGCAACAACATGGTTGGACTCAGAGGGCAGTATACTAAGTGAAATAAGTCAGAGAAAGACAAACACCATATGATTTCACTCAGATATGGAATCTAAAACAGAAAACATTTAAACAAAGAAACAAAAAAACAGACTCTTAACTACAGAGAACAAACTGGGTGGTTGCCAGAGAGATGGGTAGGTGTGGTTGGATGAAACAGATAAAGCGAAATAAGAGTTACTTTTTTTAATCTATCGAGTGTAATTAAAGATTCTTACCCTCAAAAAAAAAAAAGAGTTACAAACTTACAGTTATACATGGAGATGAAAAGTATAGCACAGGGTACACAGTCAATAATATTATAACAATGTTACATGGTGACAGATGGTGAGTAAGCGTGGTGAGCAATGAGTAAATGTACAGAAGTGTCTAATCAATATGCTGTACAACTGAAATTAATACAATATTGTATGTTAATTATACTTAAGTAAAAATAAATAAGAATACTTCATTTTGATTAAAATATTGAGAATTAGATTTAATAATTAATGTATCATCTTTGCTTCACTTGGCCATGTTGGTTCCATAATAATTAAGGGTATGGACTTTTTAGAAAGGACTTTTTATTTATTTATTTTTATTTTTTTTTTAAAGATTTTATTTATTTATTTGACAGAGAGAGATCACTAGTAGATGGAGAGGCAGGCAGAGAGAGAGAGAGGGAAGCAGGATCTCCGCCGAGCAGAGAACCCGATGCGGGACTCGATCCCAGGACCCTGAGATCATGACCTGAGCCGAAGGCAGTGGCTTAACCCACTGAGCCACCCAGGCGCCCATAGAAAGGACTTTTTAGAAAAGAGTTTTAATTCTAAGAACTTTGACCTTGATTTTCTCTATTACACTAAGAAGTATATCATACTATAATAATACTATACTATATAAAAATGATAAGTATTTTATTTAACCTATAATAATACTATACCTACTATATAAAAATGGTAAGTATTTTAACTAACCAACCCTGAGTAGTATAAGACTACTTGGGTTCTGGGAGGCGGGGAGGGGAAAAAATGAAACAAGATGGGACCGGGGGAGGGAGACAAACCATAAGAGACTCTTAATCTCAGGAAACAAACTGAGGGTTGTGGAGGAGTGGGAGTGGCTGGGTGATGGACACTGGGGAGGGTATGTACTATGGTGAGTGCTGCGAATTGTGTAAGACTGATGATTCACAGACCTGTACTCCTGTAGCAGATAATACATTATATGTTAATAAAAAATTTTAAAAAGAAGAAATAGGAAAAAAAGCCTATATTTATGTGGATGTGTTCTGTAAACTATAAAGCACCACAGTAATGTGTCAATTTTACCATAATGACTTTGAGATGGAATGTATGCAGAAATGTCAAGTAGTCTGGAGACATCAAACTGGACTTTAGGAAAGAGGTAGGGCTTGAAATAGGTATTTGGCAATCATCCTAAATGTAGATGCAATAACTGAAATTAGAAACGACTTTCCAAGGAGTAACTGCCCCAATATCGTGGAATGTACTGCTTTCCACACCACAGGTACTCAGTAAATATTCGCTAAATGACTAACATTAAAAAATGATAATAAATCTCTTATATTGCTATGGCTCTACATTCTTTAGCTATTGCTGCTTTTACAGGATGAATTTATTATTGATTATTTTTAAATATGTAAAACCATGAAAACTACTATGCAGGACAAAGTACAACTGTCCTGACTGCTCTAGACACATCTGTTTTTTAATTTACCCTAAAAGAACCACTATTGTGATCCAGTGAAACTCATGAAAATACCCAGAAATCTTAAAAGTCTCCTCAAACATCTTAGCATCTGGGGCGCCTGGAGCGCCTGGGTGGCTCAAAGCCTCTGCCTTTGGCTCAGGTCATGATCCCAGGGTCCTGGGATTGAGCCCCCGCATCGGGCTCTCTGCTCAGCGGGGAGCCTGCTTCCTCCTCCCTCTCTCTCTGCCTGCCTCTCTGCCTACTTGTGATCTCTGTCAAATAAATAAAATCTTTAAAAAAAAGATGTATAAAAAAAAATCTTAGTATCTAATTAAACTATCTCCCCTCCACTATAATCAGCATTCACTTTCTTTTATACAAGTGAATAATTTCCTACATTAATTCCAAAAATTGATACAGCACCATCTTCTATCTTTTTCCTTTGCAATATTTATACTGTATTTCAGCTACCATAAGGGTTAGAAACTATTATAAACTAGTGTTGATTCTTAACCAACATTTGTATCATCTTTTAAGTTAGACATTCCAAATTCCTAGTAACTAATTAAAAATGAAAATTCCAGAACAAAGCCCATTTGTCACTTGAAATCAGTTTTTTTGTTTTATTTTTTGGTTTTGTAAAACTTACTTTCTGTTCAAGAGAACAGGAAGACCATTAGTAAACTATGATTAAACTTCACCCAGAAATCAATAGCTAAGGTAACATGGAAAAAATGCTACATTTCAAAGCACGACAGGGGCACAGTGGCTGGAGAAGGTCGAACAGATGGTGCAGAAATAATAATAGGACCAAAGTAGCACACAACTCAGAGGAGGACAGAATCAGACACAGAGAGCTATGTGATAGAAAGAAACAAAGGGTAGTAAAATTTACTCACATTTTTAGGCATCAGGTTCAAAGAGGGCAGCAATATGAGTGTATGGGACTGTATCAGCAAAATGTGAGGAATATGCAATTACTCTCTCTACTCTGTAACTGGGAACTTCAAGAGAGCACTTAAATTGAAAAGCCTAGTTTTGAGGCAAGTCTCTGTTATTTACCATGCTTTCCTACTTCTTTTTAATTTCTTATTGTTTACCCTCAATTTATGGGATTTGATCTGTTTCTTTCTACTTTCTCCCAGCCCTATTTCTAACCTTTTTTTTTTTTTTTTAAAGATTTTCATTTATTTACTTGAGAGAGAGAGAGAAGAGAGAAAGTGTGCACACACAGGAGCAGGGGGGAGAGGCAGAAAGAGAAGCAGACTCTCCATTGAGCAGGGAGCCTGATGTAGGGTTCAGTCCAAGGGCTCTGGGATCAAGACCTAAGCCAAAGGCAGACAATCAACTGAGCCATCCAGGTGCTCCCTATATCTAACCATTTAAGACCTTTATCCTTGCTGGTTTTCTGTTCTTTTTGTGCTAAATTAACCTTGTTTCCTATAAACCCAATACAACATTGTACTCTCCAAAGACTCAGGGACCTCCTCTGAAGTTACACTGACCTATCATCAGAGTTCAGGACTGAAACCTAACCAAAGACAACAGCATTGTTCCCAGCCTCCCAACTATTAAATTATCCTCCAAAGCCCTCACACCGGAACAGATGATTTTTAAAAATGCATCCGTTTATTCAGAATGTTCATCATCATACAGATGTTAAAATAGTTACTATATAGAAGGGCTAAAAAAAGTTCATTTAATAAACTATAAATATAACATAAATTTATAATTAGGTTCATTAGAATTTTTCTCTTGATAGAATTGACAGTGTCCATATAGTAGGAGAATATTACAGTGGACTCTGTGCTCCAGTACAAAAGAATTCTTGTGCTATAGTACTGAGATTTTTTTTTTTAAAGATTTTATTTATTTATTTGACAGAGATCACAAGTAGGCAGAGAGGCAGGCAGGGGGGGCGGCGGGGAGAAGCAGGCTCCCTGCTGAGCAGAGAGCCTGATGTGGGACTCGATGCCAGGACCCTGGGATCATGACCTGAGCCGAGGCAGCGGCTCAACTGACTGAGTCACCCAAGTGCCCAGTACTGAGCATTTTAAATGCATTTTTAAACCTATATTTAAAGAATATTTAAACCGAATTATAAATCTCTGGTTACTATCTCTTTATAAAACAAATGTTCCACACTTTAAAAAAGTAAAATTATGAAAACTGGGTTTATGGTCCCAGATGCTATTTTCAATCAATTAAAAATTAGTATTATTCTAATGATAAGATGAAGATAATTAGTACTTACTTTTGATACCAAATCAATATTAAATCTCCTGCCTTCTTTAATAATTTGTGAGTAAGTAATCCTATTTTTCTTTGGTTGCAATGCAGTGTCTTCTTCTGTAGGCACATTTTCACTTGTTTCTTCTTCTGAAGCTGACTTCACACAAGTTTTGTTGTCATAATGCTTTTCTTTTTCCCCTGTTACTTCCACATCATGTATTTCTAGGGCAGTCTCTAGATCACTGCTTGGAGTTTGTTCTCTCGGCACTTCACAGATCACACTGCATAATGATTCATCTTCTGAAGGCAGACAGGCAGAATGTGCAGCTTCTGTGGGGTTCCCAGATATCACAGAAGCATGATTTTTCTGCAGTGCACCAGCTTCTTCAACATCTTCATGTAAATCCTGACTAATGAGAAATTATAATAACAATACACTTTTGATAATTGTACTGGCTACATTTTATACTATTTTAATGGCAATTTTTATTTCTTTACCTCATTTATTTTTTCAAGTTCAGTATACATTTTGCTTTGTATGAACCACACAGTAAACATTCACCTGTTAAGGTTTCGATACAATATGAAACATAGTTAATACTTTAAAAATACACATAAAGACTTCAGAGTTTAGTAGAGTCTGTCACATGTACACTTTTGAGACTTTAATGCCATCAGGGGAATTGTATTTTAGAAACAAATCAAAAGTGGTTACGAGCACAGCTTTCAGAATAAACAGGACAATACCCAAACCCTGTGATTAGGTAACTCTGTGAAGTTAGTTATTTATCCTCTCTGATCTAAATTATCCATCTATAACACATGGATAATAGCATCTACCTCACAAGGTTGTTTTGAAGATTAATAGTTTAGTCTTCATGGTATCACATGCAAAGAACCTGTCACAGTGCCTAGCATACAGTAAATGTTCAATAGTGGTAGTTATCAAAGATTAATATTATTGATGGTGTGACAGAGCTAGAAAAAGTCTGCCATAAAGTTTAAGTTGGCTTATCACAATGTGGTATCTAAGAGGATCTTTTTGTATTCTTTCCTGCTTTATTTGTTTTAGTATTAGTGTCTATTACTCTATTTCAAAGTTACTATTACAGTTAACATTCTCGGTCCATATTGCTTTGACTAATAAAACAGGCTCCTGTTCAATCTACCTGCATTACGCATTTCACTTTCATGTTATCCTCCATAGAACCTACATTTCATTAAGTTGACCTACTGCGGGGGTGCCTGAGTGCCTCAGTGGGTTAAGCCTCTGCCTTTGGCTCGGGTCATGATCTTAGCACCCTGGGATCAAGCCCCGCATCAGGCTCTCTGCTCAGCAGGGAGCCTGCTTCCCCCCCCTGCTCTCTTTGCCTACTTGTGATCTCTGTCTGTCAAATAAATAATTAAACTCTTAAAAAAAAAAAGTCGACCTACTGTGAAACACTAAAAAATGCCAGTAATAGGCCTTGGGAAGTAAACACCTGCTAACTGATCGCTCAAGAACTTATAGCTGCTCTTTCTTATATGATCTCTAAACCCTACCCCATAAAATCTTCTTTCTGCCTCTAACCCATTATCACCTTCTTTATAAACGATTTTCTAGTCTTATCTCTCTTGTTTTCAGACATAGCATCTCTCTGAGTCTATCAACTCTAATCTCCATGTTTTGGACTGTATCATTTTTGTCCCCTAGGTTATTCATCCCACTACCATAATATCGTAATTCTCCTACTCTCGAAAATAAGCATGTACTTTAACAATCCATTGTAAGAAAAAATTTTAAATATTTCCCCAAAAAACTTCCTTAAACCAGGGATGCCTGGGTGGCTCAGTTGTTTAAGCAGCTGCCTTTGGCTCAGGTCATGATCCCAGCATCCTGGGATCGAGTCTCACATCGGGTTCCTTGTTCTGTGGGGAGCCTGCTTCTCCCTCTGCCTGCCACTCTGTCTGCCTGTGCTCGCTCACTTGCTCTCTCTCTTTCTGACAAATAAATAAATAAAATCTTTAAAAAAAAAAAAACTACCTTAAACCAACCATACATATCGTTCTATTACTCCATGTCCCCACAATACACACATGCAGTTTACCTTGCATTTATTTATCAGTTCCTTTTAATAGTCCTTTGGTTGTTCAGGATATACTTTATCTCTGAAGTAGACTTTAATTCCCTTGAGGGAAGATCAGAACATCTCTATTTATGTGTCCCTCACAGCACCTACTGCACTGCTCTACAGACATGCTATCAAATAAATTCTTGAAGAATAAATGGTTTCTACATGCCAACAGGGTGTGTGTGTGTGTGTGTGTGTGTGTGTGTGTGTGTAAACATGAAACAAACTGAATTTGTAAAAAACACAAGATACCAGACCAGGAAAAAGCAATAAATTATAAATTCGAAAGTCTGAGTACACTTAAAAAATGTCTTATTGGGGCACCTGGGTGGCTCAAAGGGTTAAGCCTCTGCCTTGGGCTCAGGTCATGATCTCAGGGTCCTGGGATGGAGACCCACATCAGGCTCTCTGCTCAGCAGTGATCCTGCTCCCCCCCCCCTGCCTACATGTGATCTCTCTGTCAAATAAATAAAATCTTAAAAAAATAAAAAAAATTTAAAAAGTCTTATTACACTGAATACAATAAACATTACAATAAAAAAGGTACAATGAAAGAGTAACATAACATAAATGTCAAAAAAATAATATGCTGGAAGAAGAGCTAGGATGATGGAATAATAGAAGGATCCTAAGTTCTTCTTCTCCCTTGAAAACAACTAGATAACTACCAAATCATCCTGAATACCCAAGAAATCAACTTGAAGACTGACAGAACAAATTCCACAACCAAAGGGATAGAAGAGGCCACATGGAGGAAGGTAGGAAGTACAGGGACATGCTTTGGGGGAGAAACAGATCTCTGATGTTGTGGAGGGGAGGGAGCCCTCGTCTGGGAGAAAGATAAGGGAGAGAGAAGCATACAGGGGAACACACAGGGAGAATACTTTTCCAAAGCCACTGGCTGGGAAAACAAGAGGGGGAGATTTTTGTGAGTTTTTCAACCAGCAGGGATTGAAGACTAGAGTTTTAGAGATCCACAGCATGGCTGGGATAGAATCTGGAAAGCACACTGCACTGCTCCTGGGGAGAAGACATGAAAACAACCTGGGGACAGACAGCCATCTAAAGAAGCCCTTGGACACCCGGGGGAGATAATTCCCTCTTCTCAAAATGAGTCCCTGGGAACAAGCACTGAGGTCCCTCTCCAGAGACAGTGGAGCTGCCTGGTTTCACTTCCCTCCCCCACCCCTCAGCATAAAAAAAGAACCAACTGTTATAAACACCAGAGCACCTACAGTGGCTGCCTTACCTGCTTATATCAGGTCCAACACCCCTGCACTCTACCCCCACTGCCCTTCTTGGTCAAGTTGGTCCTTGATCCTTGGTCCTTGGCAGGACCCTACCCCAGAAGACCAGCAGAAACCCCTGCTCACACAACATCGCCTGACCAGAGAGTTATGCAAAGATTCAGGCCTAGTGGAAGTAGTATTGGGTCTCATTTAACAAACAGACCAGAGTACACTGAGTTAAACTCACCACACTGCCCAAGGACAAAACACTGCCCAATGAAGGCAAGGACAGGCTCTGCAGATGACTGGCCTGAAGGACAGAGCACCCAAAACAAGCAGCAGAATGCATGCAGCAGGCACCAGAGACACACCCTGAAGCATCAGGCCCTGGGCACTATATGACATCTTCTTCATAAAGCCATTACACTCAAAAGCAGGAAACAGAACAAGCTTTTCCAACAAACAAATAAATCAGAAACCTAGGAAAAATGCCAAGATGGAGGAATTCATCCCAAATGAAACAAGATAAGGTCACAGCCAGAGATCTAAATGAAACAGATATAAGTAATATGCCTGAATGGAGAACTGAAAGCAACAATCATAAGGATAATGACTGGGCTTGAGAAAAGAGTGGAAGACTTCAGGATGGCCCTTACCACAGAGATAAAAGAGTTAAAAAAAAAAAACAGAAATGTAAACTCCAATAAGAAAGATTTGAAACAGACTGGATACAATGAGAACACAAGGATAAAAGAAGCAGATGAACAGATAAGTGATATAGAAGGTAAAATAATAGACAAATATGAAGCTGAACAAAAGAAAGAAGAATTATGGATCAGGAGAATATATTTAGGGAACTCAGTGACTCCATCACATGAAGTAACATTCGTACTATACAAGTCTGAGAACAAGAAGAGAGAGAAGAGGGGGGCAGAAAATTTATCTGAGGAAATAACAGCTGATAGATTCCCTAATCTGGGGAAGTAAAAAGACATCCAAATCCTGAGGCACAGACATCTCCCATCAAAATCCACAAAAGCAGACCAACACCTAGATTTATTATAATTAAATTTGCAAAATATAGCTATAAAGAAAAAAATCCTAAATGCAGCAAGACAAAAGAAGTCCTGAACTTACAAAGGAAGACCCATAAGACCATCTGCAGATCTCTCCACAGAAATTTAGTAAGTCAGAAGACAGTGGCATGATACACTCAAAGTTCTGAATGGGAAAAATCAGCAGCTAAGAATATTCTACCCACCAAGGCTATCATACAGAACAGAAGGAGAGATGAAGAGCTTCCCAGAGAAACAAAAACTAAAGGAGTTTGTGACCACCAAACCAGCCCTGGAAGAAATACTAAAGGGAACTATTTGAGTCGAAAGAAAAGAACAAAAGTGACAAAGAGAAGAAAGGAACAGAGAAAATCTCCAGACACGACAAAACAAGTAATAAAACGGCAATAAATATATAGCTATCAACAGTTCTGAATACAAATGGAATACATGCTCTAATCACAAGACAGAGGATGGCAAAATGTATAACAAAACAAGACCCATCTAAATGCTGCCTACAAGAGACTCATTTTAGACCTAATGACACCTGCACACTGAAGATCAGGGGATGGATAAACATTTATCATGCAAATAGACATCAAAATGAAGCCAGAGTAGATTATAATAAGAGATGAAGAAGGGTATTATATCATAATAAAGCAGACTATCCAACAGGAAGATCTAACAATTGTAAATATTTATATCCTCAATATGGGGAGCACACAAATGTATAAAAGAATTAATAAAAACATGAAGAAACTCATTGATAATAAGACAGTAATACTACGGGACTTTAACACCCCAATTACATCAATGCACAGATCATCTAGGCAGAAAATCAACAAGGAAACAATAGTTTTGAATGCCATACTGGACCAAATGGACTTAACAGACATATTCAGAACACTTCATCCTGAAGCAGCAGAATACACATTCTTTTCGAGTGCTCATGTGACATTCTCAAGAACAGACCACATATTAGGTCACAACTCAGACCTCAACAACCACAAAAAGA